AGCTAATCCAAAAACAAAGCTACCCTTCCCCACCAGGCCCAGGGCATGGGAACCCTGAGCTGATCCCAGCTGAGGAATCTGGGAGGCACTTCCCACGACCCAGGCAGGTCCTGCACAGGACACAAGCACAGGAACCCTAAACCCAGGAGCAGGGGGAGCCTCGTGCACCCCAGCACACCCTCCACGACACAGGTCCCCTCAACTGCAGAGGCTCCAGCCCCACTGCTTCTGCAGGACTGAAGTGTCAGGAGAAGAAAAGACTGTGCCCTGACAGTGCCAAGAACCTGCCTTCTCCCTGCCCAAGCAGCAGTGTCCCTCACTGTCCCCTTCTGGAGCATCCTTCCCACCCTGACAGGCCACAGGGAGCACCCAGCACACTGACATTTTCACCCCTGGCATCTCTATCCAGCTTTTTTTCTTTTTTTTTTTTTTTAAACTTTCTTTAAAACATAACCAACTAGAAGTCAGCAACAGTCCTCTCAAGACCTACAATCTTCCACTGCAAGAGTCTCTCACATACCAACCATCTCTGTGACACATTAACCACAGAGATGACAGATGGGGTATTAAGAGCACTCAATCTAAACCACCTTCCTCCCTCCCCGTCCTCAAGGGGCTCCACCATAACCTTTCACTTCACTGTGCTCTGACTTGCATTGGGAAGGAGATCAGGTTACCAAGCTGCAGAATTATTTGGGCTGGAGGAGATCCTCAGGAGAGCATCTAATCCCACCTCCCGCTCCAAGCAGGGTTAGCACCAATTTCAGAACAGCCTGCAAAGGACTTTTTGTCCAGCTGGGTCTTCGAAACCTCCAAGGATGGAGGTTCCCCCACATCTCTGGACACTGTTCGACTGGCTGTGAAGGGAAAACTCTCCCCCCTGCTTATGCTGAGGTAGAACTCCTGTGATTTCAACCACTGCTCAGTAAAGAGGCTTCTTGATCACCTGCTCTTGGCTATCCCAACACCTTCTCTTGTCCTGACTAAACCGCCCTGGCTCCACCAGCCTGCTCAGGGAAGTCAAATTTCAGTATTACATCACTTGATACTTTCTCCCAAGTCAGCACTGGTGAGACAGAGGCTCCATCCAGAGCCAGTGGGACTCCAGCAGGACAGCTCTGCTTGGATTTTGCCACGACTCCCACTGGCTTCCTCATGAGCAAACCAGGGAATAACTGAGTTTGTCCCGTCCTGACACTGGGCACTACTCCACAGCCCTCTGCTTGGGGAGCGCAGGGATCACATTCCCACTGGTAACTATTTTTGAGAGGTATCAGGTGGCACTTGCTAAATCAGCTTATTCCCGGTGCTGGTCAGCGACACGGAGACTGAGGCACTGCCACCCTGGCACAGGGCAGGGGCTGGGGATGTGCAGAGATCAGAGCCCACCACAACTGCTCAGGAAGGTGTTTCTCAGCTCAGAGCCCACCAGCAGCGGGGAGGCATCCCAGGACAGCACGGAGGATATGCCAGAGATCAGTGCCAGGGCGAGGGAGACATGCCTGCACTGCTCTGCCAGGGGATCCACCACACTCCTGATGCCAAAGCAGAGCTTCTTCTGCCTCCTGGGAGCAGCAGCACTTGGTCAACAGCAGGGACCTTGGGACACAGATACACCATGTCAGCGCAGCTCCTTTTGGCAGTCGGTACAGGAATCTTACTAAAAACCACAATCTGAAGATTTTTCAGACATGATCTGCTTTCCATCAGAGCACACAGACCATTGGGAATGCTCCATCTTTGCTGTGGCACTGATTTCCAAATGCACCAGCTCCCCCAGATCTCTCTGTGGACAGGGGCTGGTCTCCACTGCCCGCTGGTTACCTGCCCTCTCTCTTATTTGAAAACACTGCTACGACATTTCTGTTTGCCCAAACTTCTGGAACTCCTTTGGTCTTCCCAGATTTATTACAATTTGGCAGCCAGGATTCAGAAAGCTGCTTTGCCAATTTGCTTTAAACAAACAGGTTCCAGAGTTGCTCGAGTTTCAAAGGCTTTGAAATGTTATCTTGGGTTTCACACCCTCCCTTGGTTACCAGTGCAACGGGAGGTTTGCTGAGATCCTCATAAAAGCGAGGACATCATCCAGCTTCTTCCCAAACATGGGAAATGTTTTACTTCTCTGTATTATCAGCAATCAGTGGGGTTTTTCAACCTTTCCCAACAATATAAACACCATTGATGAAATTTGTTTTGTTATACAGATATTATTTCTCACCGCCCCACGAGGTATTTGCTGTGCTTTTCCAGCTCTCTTTTAGCTTTCCTTATCAAATGCCTACCTTTCAAAACACCGACTTTTACAATAACAGCTACTTATCTACAACCTTTGTTTTGCAAATTGCTCATAGTGAAATCTATCTGAAAGCTAAAACACCATTACTGGTGATGGACTCTTTGCAAAACCATTGGAGAACCAGCAGCAAGGGTGTTTGCAAGGGTGGAAGCCAAAACCTAAGAGAGTTCAGTGAAAACCAAACCAGGAACATGATTTTGGAGCATTAATTATTTAACTGGCTATCTCATCTCTGTCAAAGCACTTCAGAAATGCTGACAGTACCAAAAGTTACATCTTACGAGTTTTGCAGTGCCCCTTCATATTTGTAAAAATAAAACTCAGAGCACCTGTTGCTGGCACCCAGCCCCTTGCCCTCACCTTGAGGAGCCCTAGGGGCTCACCAAATAACGTTTATAAAGGTGAAGAGCCAGGAAGATACCAAACTTGAAGCAGCTTTTTCCAGTGCCATCACTTCACTGCTCTCCACAGACTGGAATCAACTCCAAATAGCAAAATGCAGCGAGTGGGGTGTGATCCTGCCCTCCCACAGCCTCACAGGGGACAGGGCAGGCTGTGACCTCGCTGGGTACCATTTCTCCAGGGGCTCAGCAGAACCTCCATCCTGCAGCAAGCCAGGACAGCCAGGCCTGGGTACAAACAGCTGGTTCATTCAGGCCGAGCAAACTCTGTTTATGATCCAAAGCGGTTTCAAAGTTTAATTTACGAAGTGCCTGGCAAAGATGGAGCAGTGAGTGGCAACACTTTCAGATCACCTGAAACCGCTGCCTCGAGCCTGGAGACTCCAGGGAGGATTTCCAGGCAGGTCTCACCATGTTCCACTCAGTTTACCATTCACTAGAACAACTCTACGAGTCAAATTTAAAACTTCTCATGTACAGAGATGAAACTGCCTTTAAATGCTCCAGCAAAATACCTTGCATGACTGTAAGACAGCTCAGAGAAGATCTTTGCTTACCACAATGTCTTTCAAGCAATCAAACCAAAATGTTGTGCTCATAAACAAAGGGAAAGCCAAGGACACGGGAAAAGCTCGAGCAGCATTTCACAGCTCAGGAAAAGCAGAAGGGCCAGTTCTGATCACATTTTCTCAAGACAGACCAAAAAACAGAAGCCCACAGAGAAGTAATAAGATTTAGCAATTACACAGAAGGCAGGTAGCTGTAGGAAAATCCCAGGATTGTTTGAGGCAAATAGAAGAAATGAGAGGGGGGGAAGAAACATGTAAAACAATGATGCCTAGGACCAAAAAAAAAAAAAAAAGAAAGGACCCCATTTACCTCTTTTCCATATTGAAAACGAACTGAAATTAAAAAACAACAAATTAAAACTAAGGAAATGAAATTCCACAGCATACCATGCACATTAAGCCTCTGGGACATATTGCCACAGAGCAATGTGGGAGTAATTCAATAAAATATTGGAAGTGGATCTACATAATAAGAACATCTGCGATTCCATTAACGTGAAAAGAGAGTACACTGGATATAAATTTTCCTCTAGCCAGACATAAGCAAACCAGGAATTAATGTGACCAGAAAGTTATCTCCTGCACGGGCAGGTTATTCCACATTTGTCTTTACTCAGGCTCTGGGGCTTTCCTGTGCCCACGATAAGATGGTGCCTGAGTAGGTGGGCTGTGATCCCAGCCAGTTTGGCAAGCTCTGCCTCTCTGGATAGGGATCACATTTCAGTTTTCAGCAGCTTATTGTGCAGCTTCTCAAGAAGAGAAACAACACTACCCACCTTTTTATTATTTTTTTTTTCTAAGCAAAGATTATCCTCTGTGAAACAAGAAGGGCAGATGAAATTTCAGCCAAACCTATTAAATAAATACCTGTGGAGCAGTGACCGACCCTGGAATGCTCTGGTGGAAACACAGCTATTTTGGAAAGTTCTCAGCACCTGAAAAATTGGGTTTACTGAGGAATTAAATCAGATTTTATCTGGAGGGACTGCTATTGGAGAGCCCTATGGTTAACCCTAACAACAAGGATTCTCAGGTGCAGCTTCCTGCATATTCACACTCCCGTGTTTTAGGCTAAATGGGAGTCTGAGAAAGTTTAATAGTGCCCAAAATTGCAGTAGGTGCTTCAGGAGGGGACAGGGTCTGCCTCTCCTTGGGAGAAGAGGGGAGGGAGCACAGGATATGTGCAGCCACAAAACTCATGTGGGGCAAGAGCTGCTGGGGCTCGGGGGGCAGGAGAACACCTCCCCCAACTCCCCCACTGTCCAAAAGCAACTCACTGCCAGCCCCAGTTTTTGCACATCTGTCTCAGCCTTGGCCCTAAAACATCTCAGGCACCCCAGAGACCAAACACCTGAAACGTCTCAGGCACCTCTGAGAGATCAAACACTGTGCACTTTTCCAGGACAGCCCCAGAAATTACTTCTGGCCAGAGCCCCACCAGCCACCTTCACATTTCTGCCCACAGAAGACCCTGCGGGTCCCAGGGGTCCCCAGGAACACATCCCTGAGGGAAAAAACGCGACTTGAGAGCCCTCCCACAGCTGCAGAAGGGAAAACAGGGAGCAAAGAGCCACCATCTCCCTGCCAGCCCAGGGACAAAAGCCTTCTCCTCCCAGCACCACCACCTCCACTTCCAGCACGTCTCCACAGGGCTTGTGCTTTATCCCAGGATGGAAACGGAGGGAGGAGAGCTGATCACAAGCTGAGAGCCAGGTTAAGCTGGAAGGAGCCTACCTGCCTCTCCCGGGGCCTGCTGAGCACAGGGAGCAGCTGCCATGTCTCCTTTGAGCTCCACAGGTTGAGCCAGGCTGTAGTTTCGACATTCCTCGCAACTTTCTACCAGCACACATGATATGTTCAAACTTGAGTAACTCCTCCCTCCTCCCTCCCTCCGCACACACAGACAGGCCCAGGAGATGGCCCTGCCTCTATCATCCCAGTTCCTATAGCAACTCCTGACCCAGCAGATGGAAACAGAGCTGTTTTCTAGGCAAATCTGCCTTCTTGGATTCCTCCGCTCTTCCCTGCTGTTGGCCCCTCCTTGCTCCAGTGCTCTCCCTGGGGGCTGCTCCGCTGGCACTTGGCCCAGGCTTTGCCTGGAGGAAGGCCAAGCTTTGAATTCATTTAGTAAAACCACAACATAAAGCAGCTCTCCTGCTCAGGAAGCAGGGCCCGTGTAGTCCCAGGGGCAGGCCAGGCACCGCAGAGCCAGCCTGCACCTTGGTGCTTAGCACGGCCGTGTGAGCTCCCAGGGACAATCCCAGCAGGAGCATCTCCATCCTCACCCTCATCCTCCACCAGCCTGGGCCATCCACCCGTGGGGGAAAGGTAAAAAGCACAAACACAACAAGGCATTTCTTAAGCAAGTCCAGCAGACAGAATTATTGTAACCCTGGGCACTTCTCAGATGTTTGGATTTCTGCCTCCAAAGCCTTTCCTGGAAGAGGGAGAGTCCAGCAGTGACACCAGGGCTCGCTGCCTGCTCAGCACAACAGATCACCCCTATTGCTTCCCTCAGGAGGGGAGGTCACCAAGGCAGCTGTCAGACAGCTGTGTGACACCACGTTCCCTTCCCTTCCTCCTAAAAACACAGAAAGAGAGGGAAAGTACAGAACTCACTACCAGGCTGTGGCACTTTGGGGGAACCTCACAGGCAGGTGGCACTGCTAAGGCTCCAGGGGGGCAGGACAAGCAGCACCACAGCAGATGATGGCACTGAGCTGGGTAGGGGGGAGCCAGCAAGCTGTGGCACCCTGGGAGACCCCCCATAACCTACCACAGGGGCTACAAAACTGCTGCAAAGCCATTCCAGCACCAGCACCCGCTGCTGTCCCTGCCCACGTGGGCTCCACTGCAGAGCCACTGCCCCTGGAGAGCCCCAGAGCACACACAGGGCTGGGGCCACGCTCACCAGGGTGACAAGGTCACTGGGATTTGGGAGGAACATCCTCTGAGGGCACTGGTTTACACCCCCAGGTGGGGCTCCAGCAGCAGGGACCGTGGCAGCAGAGGGAGACTGAAGAGCAGATGGATTTTGCTGACTTGCCTATCGGGAAATGCAGGTGCCAGCCTGCTCCCTGCAAGGAAAGGGCAGTGATGTCCCATTTGGACACCTGGCAGAGGTGAACACCCTCCTGGGGCAGCAGTGCAGGGATGTGACAGCAGGAGGCTGAGGAGTGGGGACAGCAGCCTGCTCTTCACACTGCCACGTGCTACAGCAGCTCCAGGCAGGAATCCCAGCAAAGCCTCAACACAAGCAGCAGGTATTCTGGGTATCCCAAAGGAAAAAAGGAAGCAGACAAGCACCACACTGTGCCCACACTAAGTCTCAACTGGAAAATACACCTGTGAGCTGGAAGACAGAGAATCACAGAATATGCCAAGTTGGAAAGGACCCACAAGGAGCATCAAGTTCTAACCCTTATCACTGCACGGGCCCATCCCCAAGGGTCACCCCCTGTGCCCCAGAGGGTCATCCAAACCCTCCTGCAGCTCTGGCAGCCTTGGGGCTTTGCCCACTGCCCTGGGGAGCCTGTTCAGTGCCAACCACCCTCTGGGGGAAGGACCTTTTTCTAAGATCCAGCCTAAACCTCTCCTGACACAACTTTTGGCCATTCCCAGGGGTCCTTGTCACTGGTCACCACAGACACCCTTGCTCCCACCTTCCTCCGTGCCTCCATACCCCATCCCAGCCACACAAGCCACCTCTGTAGGAGAACAGAAGACTATTTTCTTATTCCCCCCCCCCCCCCGGGGTAATTTTCCCATGTGTGAGCGAGTCAATCAGCTCAGAGGGATGGGGGGTGTCACTGAGATGGATAACACCCTTCCAAAGCTTCTCCTGCCAAAACAAAGATAGTCACCGTGATGGGGCACACAAACCAAGCTGGATACAGGGGTAAGCTGGGACCAAAACAATTCCCTTTGCAGGACACAGGGTACTTTGCAGCAGAAGGAAAGGCTGGACATCCAGGAACAGGGAGCCCAGGGGTGACATCAATAAAAGCACCAAAGCAGATGCAGATCACAGACAGAAGCACCATCGAGGGTCCAGAGAAAGCTCTCATTTCCCCACGGCACTGGGAAGAGCAACGGCCCAGCTCACAAACAGAGCTCCTTTCCCTGGGGAAGGACAGTGCTGTGGAGGCACAAAACACTGCTGGAAAACTGCTGACCTGGCAGTGAGGCTCAGCCGAGCAGTTCAGCACAGAAACAGGCTCCCTGCTGGATGCCCTCTGAGATGTAATTTGATCCCACGGAGCACATCCACTGATCAATCGAGGGATAAAGCAAAGCAGAAAACAGCCTTTTTTTTTTTTTTCCCCCCTCCCACTGGAAGGAGCCCAAATATGCACAATAACAGATCCCACTCGGAGCTATTGCAGACTCAAGGCCTTTGGAGAGTTTTGCATCTCTCATCGCAGAGGGAGCATACTTCTGCAATAGCATCACTGCTTCTCAAATTGTGTATTTGAGAGACTTCCTAATGACCTCATAGCAGCACATGTGACCACTAAGTCATCTTCTCGAAGGACCAGGAATAACATCAACAGACCCTGTTTTGGTTTTGCACAGAACAGCTTTTTCTTCAGCATGGGCAAAAGAGCAGAACCGGCTCAGGCCAGGGCTGGCACCGTGATGGTTTGGCCTTGGAAAAGATCCATCCAGTTAACAGATGAAGAGCCATTAGCACATACTAAACTCCACACACAAATTTAGACACAAAAGCTTTTTCATGCTGATGCAGGACGATTTGGTTTAAGGCATCTATATGATATCATGGATCTCAGAAGTATTCCAGAAGTGTTTTAAGGAGAGATAAGAGGTAGACTCACAAAATAGAAAATAATGCCTTGAAAGGGTTTCAGTGTTGGTGTTTTTTTTTTTTGTCCCAGTGCTTAAAAATAACCTGCTGTGCTGAGCAGCAAGGCAGGAATTTGAAATTTGTGGGTGCTGAACTGGCGAGCTGATCACACTGGGATTGGGAAGTTGCCTTTTGCTGTCCCCAGGCCAGCTGGCACTGGGAGAAATAAATTAATGAGCACCTATAATTATATTGGCACTAAGGTGAAGGCAGCACAACAAAGCCGTTCCCATAACACCACCTGTCTCTCCAGAGTGGCTCTGCTCCATGGTCCTTACATCCCCTGCCTCCCACCTAGCCTGGCTATGGCAGCAATTCCACCTGCCTTCATCCAGGAAGGCCACAGCAGGAGCTGCTGATCCTGCAGGCACCAACACCTCATGGCCCACAGGACCAGGACATCACCTGAGCAGCCCTGGGCCAAGCAGGGACAGGGGAAGTGAGGAGCACAGGACAGTCCCAGTGAGGAGGCTGGGCCTGCACAGTGTTCAAGCTCTTTATTCTTTCAGGGAGAGGTGGTGAGAGGCAGCTCCCGCCTTCACCTTTCCAGGAACTTTTGATGGAACACAGAAGGCTGCTGTAAAAGTGCTCTGTTTACACCCTCCAGCCCTGTCCTGTCCTTACCACAGAGTGAGAGAGTGTTCACTCCCACCACCCAGCTGAACATCTGCTCAGCCCAGCTCTGACACTGCAGAGGAATCCACCTGCAGCCATAAACCTGGGAAAAGAGGGATGCAGGGCAGGGCTTGGCATGGTGGGGAGGGCAAGTCTGAGACACGTGTGTGGCATCCTCCAGGAAACTCTGACAAACCACCCTTTCACCAGGTGCTGACTAGAGCTGCTCTGCAGGGTAACAGGAGGAGGCTCAGAGGTGACAGGACAGCGCATGTGGTGACATTATGGACACCTGATGTGGGGCACACCCTTCCCAAGTGGTGTAAACCCTTAAAAAACCCATTGGACAGGTGTCCCTAGCAGATAAAATTCTGCAGCTGAGCCAATTTGCTCGTTTTTGGGCACCCAGGCAACTGCTCAGCAGAGCTCTGTCCTGCTGGGACAGCGGAGCAGAGGCCCCAGCACTGCTGTGCCCCCACAGCTCCCTCACCCAGGAATCAGAACGGCTGAGGAGGTGGCAATGGAGGAACAAAAAAATCCCCAAAATCCCAGCCCCAAAAATGCCACTCAGAGCTCTAATGTTACCAGGAAAGATCCAAACAGCAGCAGCCTCCCACGTGCCCTGTCTTTTAAACAACACTGTCCCCAGCTGCTACATCATGGGCTGCCTCAAAGGTGGTGAGAGTGAAAGAAAGTGGTACTTGCAGCCCCAGGTCAGAATCAGGGCAGTCAGATCAGTCCAGCTTTAGTTGTTGTAACGCCAAAGGCCCAGGGAACACGTCAAGCAGACAAGGAATGAACTCCTGGCACTGAGGCTCAACAAGGACATGCCAGTAAACACTCTCCCTGCCCATCTTTGCTGACGCAGCTGTGAGAAAGGGGCAGAGAAAACCATTATCTGCAAACAGATGTCCCTCCCTCTCCCTGGACACCGGGACCAGCCCAAGCAGGACGTCTCCAGCCTCTCTCTCGTCTGCATGGTGAGCCAAGAACCCTCTGGTGTCCTGCTGCAGATGAGGATCACTGCCAAGCCAAGGAAAGGCTCAACTCCCACAGGCTGGAAAACCTGTGCTCTGGGCTTTTGACACCTTACCCCTGGAAGCAGGTGATACATTCAGCAGGCATAAGGCCCCTCTCAAAGATGACTTTCCTTCTTGAAGCACTAGATAGTGTCTAACATCCTGAGCATTATCTTCCACATGCTCCTCCCCACCACTGCAGCGAGGCAGATCCTTCTGGCCCCCCCGACCCTGGTAATGACTTTGGAGCAAGGAGTTCTGACAAGTCCTGCTATCTCACCTGCAGTGACACTTCCCCACGCCTGCTCCTCCCTCCCAGAGGTTTCCCAGGTGAATCTATGTTGGCATATCACATCTCAAAACTACAAGCTGCGGGGATCTGAAGACCAATG